AATAATAATAATAATAATAATAATAATAATAATAATAATAATAATAATAATAATAATAATAATAATAACAATAATAATAAGAAGAATAATAATAATAATAATAATAATAAGAATAAGAATAATAATAACAATAATAATAATAATAATAATAATAAGAAGAAGAAGAATAATAAGAATAATAATAATAATAATAATAATAATAATAATAATAAGAAGAATAATAATAAGAATAATAAGAATAATAAGAATAATAAGAATAATAATAATAATAATAATAATAATAATAATAATAATAAGAAGAAGAAGAAGAAGAAGAAGAAGAAGAAGAAGAAGAAGAAGAAGAAGAAGAAGAATTGTTTGATTTTGTTTGGTTTGATTTCTATAGCAAAATGGTTTGATTTAATCTAAGAATTTTTCAAACCATAATTTACTGGTTTAATATGAGATCTTCTCCAAACGATACCAAATTGGACCATAAACACCCCTATGGGCCATTCTAATTCCAATTCCAAAGCCCTATTTCTACAAACCAAATTACTGAAATCAGAATGGACCATTCCAATTTCAGACCCCTATTCCCACAAGCGAAACGAACCCTTCTATTTTGAATGGCTGTTCGGACTAAAAGGATCCTTGGAATGCATGGCTTATCTTAATAATGTTACTTGATCAAACTAAGGACAGTTGTTAGTGGGTGATACAACTTATAATGTTTATCATCTCAAGTTTATTTTTTAATATGAAATAATTTTGATTGATAATTCGAAACCATTTGTTCTATTTTTATTTTTTCCTCATTTTTATTTGATTGGGTAATCAGACCGTTATACTAGCGATTCAATGACATAAATAGCTTTATGTCTGGTTTTAGGCTAACAACATTCGATATGATTAGACATGAAAGACTGTTTGTTGGTAATGAAATCCTGATCTAAAAAAACAAAAATATAATAAAAACTTCTGCTTGTTTTTACTTCTCTGTATCTACAAAATATATATATATATATATATATATACCAGCTGAGTAGGGGTGGATTCGAGCCAGTTCGCCAAGGTAGTGCGAGGTTCGAGTTTGAGCTCGAGCTTGGTTTGAGCTAAAACCTTGAGCTCGACTTGAAAAAAGTATTTTATAAAAATAATACATATATATATATATATATAATGTTTTTTATTTGATACTTAAGAATTAAAAATTATAATGATTAGTTTTTATTATATATAAAAATAAAAATATTATATCTATAATATTCTTATTATATATATTATTTTTTATAATTTATTATTATTATTATTATATGTATATATGTATGCATGCATGCATGTATGTATGTAACTAATCGAACTTAGCTCATGGCTACCCCTAACTGATTGAGACTGGGGCTTAGTTCACATGCTTGAAAATTAAGGCTACATTTGGGCTGTGGAAAACAAAACTGAGCCAAACAAGATGTTTCAATAAGCATGTGCAAACATTGCATTTAAAAACATTGTGTCCAAAGCACAATTGCACAAAGCCTAAGTGCCCATTTAAGAGGGCTTTCACACAGCAAAATTTGGCCTTACAAGGTGGGTATCACATGAAAAGCCTAGAAGCTATATTTAGCCTAGAAGATAAGAAATTGACTTTTAAATAATTAATTTTAGTAGCTTCTTCGAAAAGTTCAGTCAAGGCAGTAAAGATGAAACCCTCCTAGATAGACTATAAAGCATGCATTTGGTATAGCTTCCCTGTTTGATTTGTCTATAAAACAAAGAAAAGTACTTGCTAAACTGTTTATTGACAACTAGACACCACATTAGGGAAAAATATTGATTCAGTGATGACATGACAGCGTTTTGATAAACACTTATCACAAAACGCCCACGGAACAAAACATGCGCAAAATTAACCCCCTTGCTTAGAAATCCCACCCAAAACTAATAATTTTATTTGCACTGGTGCAAAATGATGGTAGTGCAATTGATTTTGATGCAAACTATGATTTTTTCTTTCCAAATTTACCTTATTTTGTTTGATTATAGTACAAATAAAATAAAATAAGAACTGAAATAAAGTAAAACCCAAAATAAAATCAAACCATTTTTTTTTTCATTTGCACTTCCAAAATAAAATTGCACTGAAACCAAACACAGCCCAAACAATCATGTGTCGTCCGTTCAAAGACATGAAAAATTCCCTGGCAATAAATCAATCGTGCTAGTGGTTAGTGAAGATGCCTCTTGGAAAAAAAATAATAATGGTCATAATTTGAGAAATATGAATCCCTTCAGCACATTAAGCAATAACCAATAGGTCTCCCAAAGTGGGTACATCAATCCCCACGGCAAGAATTACCTAAAAAAATCCCCACAGCAGAAACAGCAGCATTCTACCCATAAATATACTACAGAACACCATTAAAGTACAAATCCCTGGCTAGTTGGTGAAATACTACAACATAGCCAACTACACAAAAAGGAAAGAAAAAAAAAAAAGAAAAAGAAGGAAAACAAAAGAAGAATCACTGACAAGCAAGGGCAAAGAAACAAACTAATTCTACTAATCCAAATTCAATGACCAACAACTAACGCTAAAATACTCCAACCAGCCAGAAGATAGTTGATGCCACTATGAGGAATTTCTGTATCAAGCAGAGAAAAGGCTGCCTGGACAGCAACCAATGAGCATGTAAATATGGGATTCTTAGAACTCAAACGGTTAATGATCAACACGCTAATCTTTCACTGCCCTTGCTTCAAAACCCCCTTCTGGGCGTTTTACAAGATCGTAGGGCATGTGGGTTCCAAGAACTTTATCCCATATTGGGAAGAATGGCTGCGAATAATTGTATTTAGCACCCTGCAGTTGATGGTGAATGTCATGGTAAGCAGTGTTGTTCTGGAAGAACAGATGGAAGATGTTGCCAGGCAGCCAGAGTCCACAATGATCATCAACTGTCTTAATAACAGCAAAGCAAAAAAAGATCACAGCAGTCCGTGCAGTCATTCCAGATGCCAGAAATGAAAGCGCTCCTCCAAAGGTGTCAAGCAGAAGACCCTCAAGTGGATGATTGTAAAGGGCCCCAATTGCATAGGGAACTACCAACCTATGATGTTGTGAGTGGATATGGCGATACAAGAACTTGTTCTGGTGCATGTAGCGGTGAACAAAATACTGCCATGTGTCCATGACAAACATTGCTACAATGATCTGTATGAGTTGAACCAGAAGGGAGGGCTGAATTGTGACCCCAGGTGAGCTTGCCTTTGAAGTCAACTACACCGAAAACCAGAAAGCAACCATTATCAACTTGTGTAAGTCGTTTATCAAAGAAGATACAGAAATTCAAGTTGTATTGAAATAGTTTAATATAAGATTTTGTGCAACAGAACAGTTTTCTCTTTTCATTTTTTTGGGGGACGGGTGGGATATTCTTTCTCACCAGGACAACAACAAAGCTTATGCATATAGATTTACTTCTGACCATGAGCTAAATTTTCTGGGGAAAATACTCAGCATACAAATTCACATATCCATCTTACACAACACATCTGGAATATTATATCTAGGAGCAACCTACACGGCTGCACTGACATTTCGAAAATCACATGAAATGACTTAACATTCCAGATTTATTGGTCTCCACCAGTCCCCCTAGTAACCCACAGCTAGTTAGACAATCCTCGAACTCATTTTCTAATCTTTAGATTTATTGGAATGATGTATTCCATCTAGAAGCCAAGGATCTAACCTCTCTAATTGTTGAAACATTCTGAGGTCTCAGCCTCCATTTTTATCCACCCCAATCACCACTCGTTAAATCACCCTCCAGTACCACCACCCAAATGTAAACAAGAGAGTCCATCAAGCAAACTCCCTTATGAGTCTAAGAACGGCCACATTGTGAAAGATGCCAGAGGTTAGGTCCATATCTAGTCCACCCCTCCCAAGACTCCTGATAGCTGGGACCAGTTTTAGGTAATGGCCTTTTTGTTCATTTTATTTGTTGGACCAGCATTAAGGATGTGAGAAGGAAGTGGGGGTGGGGAAGGTGCTAAAACAAAGAATAGAATAGAATTGTTCAAGGTGAAAAAAAAAAACATAAAGCCTTTTGGTGAAGATGGCAAAGAGGTACAACAAATTGCCCGGTAGATCCCATCAAACACCAAAACCACACCTGTAAACAATTTGTTTTTTCTTTAAGCATTTAAAGAAATGGAAGTTTACACACATAAAGTTGCATACAGTGTTATCATAGATAAAGAGTTCAAGAATTTTATCTTTTCATAGATCAATCAACTAAAGAGGATTATCCGGTGCTTTGTTTATCATTATTTGGAAATCGTCATATTAATTTCAACAGTTATGACAAAAAACAAAAGAACCTATAGTAAGTGAAGGGTTGAAGGACAACATAAGTTGACAGAACTAGAAAATGTTAGATGTCAGAAAACCATCTCAGTGGGAAAGTCTCCTGAAGATTGTACAGCAGACCTGGAACTCAATCCTGCCTTCGTCAGGGTTGGGGGCCTGGGGGTCTTATATTCTAATTGTTACTGTGCAGAAATATGCACATAAAACAACAAAGAAGGCATCATTTGCAGTACAGACTAGTTTTAAAGCCGAGGTGTCTAGGGTTATGATATTGAAAAAGGATATATAAAAGTTTCCATATTGAAACAACTACAGTTAAGCATGTATCTTTCCCATATGCCAAGTATTTCCCAAGGCAATTTAGGTGCAATCCTCCAGGCAAGGACTTTGCAAGAGTAACACTTCTATTAAACAAGCAATCTTCAACTCTAGATTTTCTTTTCCTTTTTGTCATTTTTACTTCTTCCCAAATTATACCCTTGATAGACCAACAACACAATTAAGTGACAGATCATACAAAAAGGAGTATTTTTGTACACTAAGAATCTGTATAAAGGGAATTTACAACCTTTCCACCTTAAGTGACATACCCCACAAAAAAGAATACTTTTGTCAATAAAAAAGTCCTTGAAAATATCACCAAATATTAGCGTGAATACAGATTTTCAAAAAAGAAAACAAAACAATTAAATCATACAAAACCAGAGGGCTTGAAAAATGTATTAATAGCATCATTATAGGCAGGAGGGGGCAATATAAAGTAGAAAACTTATTTGTTAGTTAACCAACTAACAGGCCAGTTTGCTTCTTAAACCACCCTGTTCTCATGGAATTGGTTTCACAGAGTTCGATGAAACCAATAAATGCACTCATGATAACAAAACACTATTAGTGAAGTGGAAAACTGGACAAATTTGAGAAAAACCCTTCCTGTCATGTCAGAAGTTGCTTCCAGACTATCAATGTTCACCACTATTGCAACTATTGAAAAAAAAAAGAAAAATGTAAACAAATGGATTACAATATGCTTGGATGGAAAATATATATGAAGAAATTCCAGTGCAACATAACAATTCTTTTTAGGAAGCATTTCAATTATTTGTCCAGATATAGGCATTTATAGATGCTTCATGGATTAACAATGAATTTTTATCCTTTATTTTTTCATATCTCCAATCTTAATTCAACCAATATAATCTCGACTTTGACAATTTGCATTTCTATCCAGAGTAACTGCAAGAAGCAAATTATATTTCATCAATAGACTCTATTGAGCCAAAAGAAACAATCAGACTGAAAGTATGAATCTTTAAATTTTCTAAGAAGGAAATTTCTTAATACTGCAAGTTTAGGGGATCACAAACCAAACCCAGCAGACCTAACTGCATACGATAATATATTGTATATTAGTATATTTGCCTGCACCAAGAAGGAGAAAGCAGAAGACCAAAAAACATGTAATGAAGTACTAAGGAATGATCTAAGGGCTTATTATTTGACAGAAAACATGACTTTTGACAAAGCAAAATGGCAGAATAGGATTCTTGTAGCCAACCCTAAATAGTTGGGATTAAGGCTGAATCAACCTAGCCTAACACAACCCAGGGTCATAGGGACTACATATAAGTAAATCAGGTCATGTATGCTTGAGTTGAAGACCTATATTAGGTTGAGAGGTTGACTGTTAAATTAGTAGCATTTGGGCTTGGGTTCTTCCACACATAAAAGCTAGTAATGGCAAGTCTGGAGGCAGGGCCATGGGTTCACTGCCAAAATTCAAGCAAAGGTACCTCTTCCACATGAAAAAGCTAACCCCTTTCTAGTTCTTTTCTATATTTTTCTTCATTCTACATTTCTACTTTTTTAAAGGAAGAAAAAAACTCAAGAGTTGACATTCACATAGAAAATGTCCAATACACGATAAAAGCAATGCTGATCTAGACAAGGGATTTGTGCATCTGGTAGAAAAGGACAGGTTGGAGGGGTCATGAGAGCCCTCCAAATGGCAGAAATGCTCTAAATCCCTCCAAATGGCATCTGGTAGATGCCTGTTGCATCTAAACAGAATATTTTCAGCATTAGATTCAACTTATCTATAGCATCATATATAGTCCTATCCAGAAATGAATATAGAGCATCTAAATCCCCCCATATTTAGCAGAGTTTTATTGAGTTTACTCCAATTTTCTTTAGCACTTTGTGCCTTGGTGGTGTGACTCCATCATACTCTTGAAAGTTTAATGTCTCTGAAGTCTGAACCAATAATGAATTAGAGTTGTATACTGAAACATGGAAGACTATTTTAAATAGCTAAGCCTCTTTCTATGCTACATCACTTACAGAAATACAAACAAAATAGAAGGTAAATAGATAAGCAAAAGCAGAACAAGACTTTTTTTTTTCGGAATAAGAAAAAAGCTCTTTCTGGTTTTTTTAGCTACATTTTAACTTGTCTATCACCTGGAAGAGAACCATATTCACTTTTGATGTGTATTTTGACAAATCTCATAATCACTCTAGAATATAGCCTAGAATACATTTTGTTTTTAAAATTATTTTTTATTAATTCCGGTAACAAACTTCTACCAAGACATACAGGAATTGCAAAGCAGATAAGTATCCCTGAAATGATCCATGTAGAGAAGGCAACTGTAAGACATAATGGAGTTAGGGCTTATTTGAAATCCAGGGGTAGCACAGTTGACTTTTCCTAGTTCCGTGTTAGAGAGGCCCTTCAAGTATCTTTAAGAAGCAACTTCGCATCTCAACGTAGATCTTCATATTAACAGTTTAATGAAATTTTGAAAATTAATTGTGTACCTTTCTACGTCGCCAAGAACCAAATTTAACACCAATGCCCAACTTTTGGGGCAAAAAAGGACAGAAAAAGCAAGAGATAAAAGTTGCCACCCGATGATGAACCTATCAGCTGGATTCAAACAACAAGACATTTCTAGACCAGCAATATACATCGTAGGCTTCCACCACTTAAATCATATGGCTAGATGACTTTATGCAATGTTCCATTGGATTTCCAAGGAAAACGTTTTCAGGTCCATCAGTTGAGAGGTTTGAAATAGCTTAAAGAATCGCCAATTCTTCCATAGGCAGTCTAATGAAAGTCAAAACCACACATATTTTTAGAAAGCAATGAAAAGGGCAATTCATTGACTTGCTAGGCAGCCAGAACTGTGATCAGAGTATCAGACTTCTTTAGCATGTGAAAAAATGTAGTCCATGAGTTTGTATTTTCACGTCATTTCTCATGCAACAGAAAAGATATTGATATTTTTGAATAAAGAAAAAAAATTGATTGAATGAAAAGAAAGAAGGAAAGAATGAACGCCACACGGTATCACGGACTAAATTCAAGTACTAACCATGAAAAGCGCCTGAGCGACAGTGGCCTGAACGAGCTGTTGCAGCAGAACACCCTTGATCACCACAGAAAGGGGTACCGAGTTCTTCTCTTCTTCCTCTTTTCTGGTATGTAACCGATACTGATCCATCGGCGGCAAGAGCTGATAAATTCCAGCGTACAACCAATAAACTACGATCGGCGCAAAAGTACCCATGGCTTCATCACTCAAATACCCTTCCCAAAAAACCATCTTTAGTTCAATAATCAGAGAAACAAAAATAAAACTCGAGAAACGGCGGAATTTCCCAGCTAATCAAAAAGTCTGAAGCTGCGTTTCACTTCAATATCGCAGAGGAAGTAATCTGCACACAATTTTCAGCCCAAAAAACCTTGAAAGTTCAATCAACAATCAGAAACCGAGATCATCTTTCTTCTCAAGTTGAACTTCAACTGAGATTCCAATTTCCAAATTGAAGTTGCACGCGAATTACAGATCTTCCGGCTCGAGAAAACAACTCCACAAAACAGAAGGGGTTTGTCATATAAAACATTCAGATCTAGAGCACGTTGGGTGTAAAGTCGAGAATTAAAAGTGAGACAACGATGGTTGTTCTGAGAAGAGAAAGAAAGATTCAAACTTGTCAGGACCAGAGATCCATGGCGAATTCAAAGAAGGAATTTCTAGGGTTTCTTCCATCATAACAAGGGGCGGTCGTTTTCCGTTGGTTTGAAGATAGGAAGTTTGAAAAAAAACAATTAAAAGAAATAAATAAAACGAAAATATCTGCTCCGCCTCTCAGAACTCGAAAGTGTTTTAAGTCCTGAAGATGATACAAAGAACCCGAAAATTAAAAAATGAATCGGAGAAGTCAGAGAGAGACAACAGCAACAGCTATTTTCTTCTGGATTTTTCTTTTTTTTTTTTTAATTTTAATTTCGTTTTATTAAAGGGTCTAGATTCAACGAGTAGATTTCAATCTGACGTCGTAAGAGTGCGTAACATCTCACAGCACATCCCGCCGTGTATTGGGAGCATCTTCCGATGATGATATCATCGTCGGAAGATGTTTACAATACACGGCGGGATGGGGGAGAATCTGGTGGGAGGCTGATTCTTTTAACTCCTCTTGATATCGTCGATATTTTTTTATCAATAGACAACAATACTTACAAAAAAAAGCCAAAAGGCATTCTGTTGTATCGTCAAATGACAAATGAACATCAGGGGTTTTTTTGGGGTGGCAATGGAATATTAACATGGTTTTTGGGTTCTCAATACACGGCGGAATTAGGGGGGCAATCCGGTGGGAGGCTGATTTTAACTCTTCTTGATATCGTCAATATTTTTTTTATCAATAGACAATAATACTTACGTAAAAAGCCAAAAGCATTCCGTTCTATCGACACATGACAAATGAACATCAGGGGTTTTCTGGGGTGGCAATGGAATATTAAGATGGTCACTGGTCAGCCTCTCTGGATTAGCCACGTGTATTCTGTCATTTTCATCTTGGTACACGTCATCCTTAGAAGTGACTTTTTAACGGCACGTGGAAGATGTTGTGGACCGGAATTCGATTGTTGAAAAAGTGGACCCCAGTTCAGTTAAAAATGAAAAGAGTCAAAAGACAGAGAATATGCGCCCCTGTTTGCCCAATACAACGTTCTTTCCCCAACGTGGTTTTGTTTCTTTCTTTGTTCAAATCTTCCTCGCTTCTTCTCTCATTTTTTATGGGAAATGCTGGTAAACATGAAGCAACATGTTTTGTACGACTCTTGTGTACTTCGCCCTCCAGACATGGCGATATCCATGAGAACTGAGAAGACACGCGAGAATACAACTTTCGTGAGAGTGTTTCTGGAATCTGAAGACGAGAGCAAAATTGAACCGGATACAAAATTTGTATCGGGTTTAGATTTGCACTATAAACAAAAAGAGCCAAAGGATCAAATGAAGTTGCTTGGCGCCTTGGCCTCTATGACCGTAAAGACCGGGAAGAATTTATTAGAGTTGCATTAATGGGGACACCATTAGCTGCAATTAATGAACCGTCTGGGTGTAAATAAAATGTGTCAAGTGGCGATGACACCCTGTATGCTGTATTTGTAGCTTAATTTATCTGTGGGTTCTGAAAGCTTGAACCGGTGGATTAGATGAAGGGCCTGTTTGGTGTGTCTTTTTTGAAATATTTTCTGATAGTTCTGACAAGTAAAAAATGCATTGACTTTTTTGTATGAAAATCTGAGCAGCTTGAAGTACATTTGACAGATGCATATCTTTTTGTGTGTCTTTCCATGTGAGAATTGAACGCTAAAGATGTGAAAAACTTCATTTAAAGTTTCCCAAAATCAGTTCAAAATAGTTTTTTCACGTCTTTTAAGTGCTCCGTTTTTTGGTGACTAGATCTCCACGAGCCAAAGGGAATAGATTGAAAATTGGTCTTCCTGACTTATAAACAGCTGAAAAACCATGCAGAAAAACACACCATACAGGCCCAAAGTTTGGGCTGATCTGAACCCTTTGAGTTAAATTCAAATAGTTGAACCAACCAATGGCTTACAAGCATCAATTTACTTAACATGATTAAAAATCAAAATTTGATGGTGATATGTTTGATTGGAATCCGGATCTGCTCCTCACAAAGCGCTCTTACACCAACCTCACAAGTTGTGTGTTGTATTTATCGGGAGAAGTTTCCAATACTGGGTGAGTGAGATGTGCTGTGAGATGCGTTTTGTTAGGAGCAAATCCATATTCGTTTGACTGTAGGTATTTTTTTTTCTTATTTTTCTACTTTTTTATGTTTATTTTTGTCATATTTATGTTTTCATTGCCAAAACTCAAAGATTTCAATGGATCGAATTTAATATGAATTTGCCCCAATCCGAACCTGACCCTCACGGTCAGTGCAAGTTTATCACTTAACCGGTTAACCCGATCCACTGGCATCCATATCAAAACCCAGAATACGGCTCAGGTATGGTGTAGGGCTAACACAAGCTTACACCCTTTTATGGTTGAGCCAAGCTAAGAAAAGCAACAACAAATTTGGACCAGGCTCAAGACACGATGGGATTGTCACACTCTGGACCTATCTCAGTAGGCCTCAACTAAAGCCCAGTCCGAACTAGGGTCAGGACAGACTCTCCATGCAAGACACAGCCCAACCCGAAGTCCAAAAGCCTAAACCCAACCCCTGCAAATGTGGGATGTGTGGGATATGGTCTACCGGTCTGCTCAGATTGGGGTTGAGCCTAAAATTTGACAGTGGAGTGGCTGAACCGCCATGAACCGTAACTCTAACTTGCACCCAGATCACTGAACTTGTTTTGTCTTTAAAATTATTATTATTAAAGGAAAATCATCATAATTAATAAACAACAAAGCATGGATAGTGGGGCTCATCTCCCTGGGTGGAATTTTATGCCAAAGCAAAATACCCATTAAAAATATCATTCAAATTAATGCCAGAAGAGAAACAAACAATAATCTAGGGACTAGGGGTGCATGCATGCACCATCCTTTTAATGTTTCAATAAAATATTCAGTTTATGTTATTGGGTTGTTGTTTAAGAAGTCAGAAGATATATAATTGTGTATTATTATGCTAAAATAATGAAAGTAAGAGAGTCTAAAGCTCATAGAATGAGGGGAAAGGATGAATCTGTGACTAGGCAATAGCCATTATCATTAATCTAAAGAAAAAGCTATGAAGCAACTCCAAAGTGGATAAGCAATAAACTATTGGCAAGAGGCTTAAGAAAAAGAACGAAACCATTGGCAAGGGATCTAATTAATATTAGCAGATTTGTGTATAATTGTTAATGCTAGACGGTATTCGAGTTAGAGAGACAGAACAGGAGCAAAAATCCCGCAAGTTCATCATATATCCAAAATGAAATTGTGGCCAGAATTTTGTAAATATAGTTTTATATATAATCTAAAATACTGTAAAAGAAAATTAATTGGGATCCGTGCGATACACAGGTTTTATTAAGAAAAATTGAGGAAGCAGCTTTTTGATATTTCCAATTCAACGGTGCTTATCTAAGTCCAATTTAAGCATTTTTTTCGGATTATGTCTAGTTTATTCAATACAATTCAAGTTGCACTTTTGTATGAGTTCTTTATTTCATCCCTCTTTCTCTTTCTTTTCTTTCTCTCAAATAACTTTCTTAAATGTATAAGAACATGCATTAGGATGAGATTTCTTGGAAAACCCAAATCTTTCTCTCTCTCTCTCTCTATGTGTGTGTGTGTGGGTTGATATAATATCTCTTTCATTATTACTTTCTCTTTTTTTTTTAACTCTAAAATTTACTCCCGGTGGAGGGGTGCCACCGAAACTTTATTGATATGCAAAAAAACTTGGAGGGGGGCAACGTGAAGCTTACCACTCGCACTATACAGAGGAAACTTGGCTCATATAAACATAAAGTGTCCGGGCAACATAAAGTCAATGAATTCTCAAGAAATGAAGACCTAGACCATCTGCTATAATCAAGTTGTGTACATGTGAAGGAAGAGTATTTGTGCAATCATAAACAATTTTCTGATAAGCTAAGCAGTCAAGCTTTGCAAGAGCATTCGTCGGTTGGTTAGTCTCTCTGTAAATATGAACACAAAAGAAATCTAGTATATTTTTAAGTTCTTCTACCTGAGACAACCAAAACCAAAGCTTCAAAGGGGTTGTACAGTCACCGTTGAGGATATCAATCAAAAGTTTGGAGTATGATTCCACCATAATCTTATCCAAGTTAAAGGCAACCGCCAGGTGTAAGCCATCCAACAAAGCCATAACCTTTGCAACTAAATTGGAGTCAAAGTCATATGTGTTAGAGAAAGCACTAATAGAATCATTTCTTCCATCTCTGATAATACCCCCTCCACCACATGGGCCCGGAGTTCCTCTAGAAGCACCAACAACATTCAATTTTATGTAACCCTCCAGAACGGGCAATAAATGCACCACTTTGATGTGTCTACCCTTAATTGGATGGATGCATAACCCCAAACCCTATAAGGAGAGTTGCTAATTAAAACTCACCTCATGTGTTAGATTTAAGGGGGAGGAGATCTCATGAATCCATCGTACTATCACCCAAATCACCAGTTTAGAGCATCTTAATTTGTTTTCCATTCTACGCCTGTTTCTCCCTTTCCAAATTTCCCACACTACAAAACAAGCAATCAGCCCTACTACAATAGCCCATTGATTTTTTTCAGAGGCTATTGAAAACCAAAATGAGAGAAGCTCTTTAATACTCTCATTACCCCTGAAAGGAAGCCCTAACATTCTGCTAAAAAAAAGCCAAATTTTTTTATCTAAGTAGCTATGCACCAAGAAATGGTTGATATCTTCCTCTGAGTGGTTACGACAGTAGACACATCTAGAGACAAAACAGACTCCTAATTCCTTTATATAAGAATCCACCCTAACCTTCCCAACCATAACTTTCTAAACAAAAAAGCTTATCTTGATGGGCACTAAAGCATTCCAAATCACATTGTATCAGTCCACCGTGGGATGAGTAGTCCTATAGAAGGACCAAGCTGATTTTATAGAGAAATCCCCTTTCACCTCAGGGAGCCAAACTATTTTATCTTGGCTGTTAGAAAGCTTCACACCAAACCCTTGAATACTACTAAGAGGCTCCACCTCAAGAAAACCCCCAATATGATCTAGGTGCTAAACTCCTGCCTCATCAACAACATCACAAACTCTCAACTGCAAATTTAGGCCATATAGTTGAGTGGCTTTCTCAAGTAAAGGATCATCCATGGTCCAATTATCAAACCAAAAGTTGTTTTCTCCCCTTCCCACCATCCACCTCGAGAGATGGACTAAATTAGCTCTTAGTTCCATTTTAACATTTCA